AATGACAACAGTCTTTAGTATACCGCAAAGAACTTGCATTAACAAGCATGGTTACCACATGCACAGACATCACCTTTCAAAATTCCCCAACTTTTCGCTGACAAAATGTAACACAAAATGTCAGATCTAGTAGCTGCTTCCGGCCTCGACTTTAATACAGCCGTCTTTTCTACTCGTTCATTATTAGGCCTGATAAGTTTTGAACAAATTTTCCTTCTTCCGTAAGGAAGAACATTGTTGAATGATATCACAGTGACCCCATTTGTTTTTTTCCAACCCTAAACGGTATTAAATCAGCCATGTTCAATCTTTCAATATTCCCTGACTTTTCTTCAAAAATTTATGTCAATTTTACTTGACTGACAGACTCAAAATAAAATTCCCAGACTTTTCCCAGACCTTGAAGAATTTTTTTCCCCGATCATTTCCTGACCTGCGGCAACCCTGATTTAACAAGAAACGAGCTTTTTAGCAGGCAAAGGACTGTTTATAAACTTAATACCGATTCACTTTATCTTTGTGAGCTAAAAGTACTTTAGCGTAAGCTTAATGTTCTGTCCGACGAAGATGGCGGTGAAATCAACATGCATCAATTAAGCAACCAAGCCGCTTACCTTATTGTCGCACTTTACTCTTATTCTTAACAAATACTGTCCACCTGGAACTATGACAGACGCCACCTTTGATAGGTTTTCTTTCTCCACTGCATCAATCACCCAAAAACACTGCTTATTCGTGGCAAAACAAAGCGTACAGCTGACCACGAGGAGAAAGAATATCGCGAAGAACTTACAGTCTGTCATATTGGCATGGTGTTTTCAAACGCTTCACGCCTTCATCTACAAAGCATATATTCTACTTTGATGGAAAGAATATAAATACAATAGTAGATGGTGTAGGAAGTAAACTGAGTGACTCACGTCGCTTTTCTCTGAGGGAATTAACACCAGACGCCTGTTCGAAAATCTTTGAGCTCGCTTGGCCGTTTTGCATGAGACTTACTAGTCCCCAGTCTTCCGGTAGCATAGTCACGAAGCACAGTCACGCAAGTCGTCTAATGACTGTGTCACACAAGTGATGGACGGGCGATAGTGTCAGAAGTTAAAGTGTTTGTATGGGAATCCGATGGCGAACGATTTTCTTAAAAGTCGAATAGCAAAATTAAGATGTTAGACAAAGGATTGCGTTAACAAAATTCCAAGGATGTAGCTGTGCCAGAAGGGATCCTTTTGAAACTTATGACCCTACGTTTTCAAAGAATATTTAGCATGTTTATGTAGTGTGAAGGCCGTGTCCGTTGAATACAAGCACATAAAGTCTACTTTCTTCCAACTTGCATGCACATTTACAGTTATCTTAAGTTTCCAATGTTCGTCCTCCCATCTTTTCTTCTTTTTTTCCTTTGTTTCCTTCCGTTGTTTTCTTTTTTTCTTTGTTTCAGGCTTCGAAACAAGACGGCTAGTGGGCGAAAGCAGCTTTCGTCTCTAGCCGCTTCGGAAACCCCCTCTCGAGGACATCGAATTTCACGACGGTATATTCAATTCAAAACACAAAACATGTCTTTGAAATCTTTCAGAGATGACTAAACAGTTCTTCAATATCGGTATTATTATTTCCACACGCCTCACAACTTCGACGGAGAAAGATTTTTCGCACAAATATCAACCTTGAAAACTGTTCCAATCAAATTGCCGCACATGCACAGAACGGTGTCAAATGCCCTTAAAGCAAAACGAAAAGCATAATAATTATAATCGAGAGTGGCTTTCATTTGTGGCATTATTTAAACTCTAAGCAGGCTACGTGTGTCTTGTTTACCTTAAGAAAAAGCTGGAAACGAATTATTTTACTTTTTCGTTCCCAGAGCTATGGTTTTTTTTTTTGTCTATAACAATTACCTTTGGGAAAGGAAAAAATTCCAATAACTATCTCTATGGCAGATAAATCACCTTTTCTCCGTCAATCTTCATGGCCAGCGACCATCCACTGCCACCGCACGCGCCAATACCAGAGCTAGTCATGTGACAGTAAACAGGAACAGGAACAGGATATTTTATTATCTTGCTATTATGGTAAGCAAAAATACTAAGGCACGTGCTCAAACATATAGTTTGTTGACCGACGTCCAAAAGAATATTCTTAAGCGGCAATAATTTTGATGGTGGAATAGTCGGTGTTGGCCACCAATACCAGGAAATGGTGACCCGAGCAGCTGTAGAAAGTTGAGGTGAGCTTATAGGCCTAGATATATTATTTATCTTGCTACCACATTTACGAGGACGCCGAACGGCCACTGATTTTGATTGTACGAGCTTTGTTTTTCATTGCTCAATTTTCCCCAGGGAGAGAGATTCATATAAAAGCAGTCGATGTTACGACCTGTTCGGCCACTCAATGCGACTAGTTTTTCACCCTTGGTTGCCAGCTTTCATGGCCCCTAAAAAGCAGTTTGATTATACATGTGCAAACCTACTCCTCCAATTCTGAATCCGTATGAATGCTGAGTATGGCAAAAAAGGTACTACACTTTTTAAGCTTCTCCCTACCCATCACACCCTGTGCTCCCTCCTCGCGCCGAGCCTTACGCTGCAACGCCGAGGACAACGTCAATTAAAAAGTGAACCTACGAATCTCTTGGTACTCTAAAGTTATTTACTTTGTTTCTCACTGTCAAAACTATCAAAAAGCTAAATCTGGAACAGAGCGAAAAATTTAGATTAGACATTTAAAAAAATTAGCCGTCGTGGTTCACGTTCTCCAGGCAAAAGTTGCTAGAGAGCTTAAAAGCAATGAACCACAGTACGACGGCAACGGCAACGAGAACGTCACTAAACAAAAGCCGGTTTAATGAGCAGAACAATGGCTGTGCACGTGCGTTATAAATCTCTGTACATTTCTTAGCCATCCTTTGCAAAACAACGTGAAATGACCAAGTTTTGCGTAGTTTGGAGAACGCGAACGACGGCTGCTAATCTTTCGCATTTTCATTTGGAATTGAAAGCTGGCGTCACATATTTATCTCGAGTAAGTTCTGAGACCAATAGGCGCACTCAGCAGATGTAGACAATTGCGAAATTCGAAGGTAAAATATAAATTCAATTTTTGGCTAGGCGTTGTCCTGTTGTTTTGCAGAGGACAAAAATGTAGGGGACAGAAATGTACAAAGTTTTGATAACGCACGTGCACAGCCATTATTCTGCTGATAAGGTAATTCCATCGAAATAGAACTCACAATAGATTTTTTTTTCGAACTTTACCTGTTGGCTGCTTATATCAAGAGAACTTAAAATTTGAAATAAAAAAGGGAGGTTCTCTTATTCGTTTAGGAGCAGGAGGACCATCAATAAAACCCATAATTCCTGAAATTATCCACTTCCAGAAATGTATATATTTGAACTATTCACCTTACGCGCTTTAAGAGAGCAGAAAAATAGGGAGAAAGTTAGGCGAGAA